ATTTATTTGACAGAGAGAGAGATAGCGAGAGAGGGAACACAAGCCGGGGGAGTGGGAGAGGGAGAAGCAGGCTTCCCGTGGAGCAGGGAGCCCGATGCGGGCCTCGATCCCAGGACCCCGGGATCATGACCTGAGCCACAGGCAGACGCTCAACGACTGAGCCACCCAGGCGCCCTCTCTATCTCTCTTAAATAAATAAATAAATAAAGATCATTTTTAACTTTTCATACGAATTTGTAACTGCACAGAATGAAGTTATGTTCCCACTCTTTTAGGAAAACAGTGGTGGTAAAACAGGGAGAAAGATGAACCTCTGCTGCTACTGTTGGAAAGAGAAGCCTGTCTGAATATGAATCAGGCAGAGAACATAAGGTTTCATAACAAAAATGTGTTAATGGTCACTAAAGGGGCACATCCCAGAGTCCACTTGAATGATACATTTTGGTTACAAAATTAACATAGAAAAACCAGCTCATATATCCTGGCTTTAATGCTGTGTTATTTTAAAGAGATTTCTAAGTCAAGAGGCATGAAAAAACTGTGTCTGACGAGGTAGGAAATAACACTATTTGAACTACTTGCTAGGTTACCTCTGACTTCACAATCATCTACCAAATAAAGGACTTTCAAATTACCTACAAAAGTCTCTTTACTCTCCCATAAACGATTACTGTACTTTACTATAAAATGCATATTTAGAAGCATCATGGTCCCACATGTTATTTATTTAAACACATCAATACTCTGTGAGAGTAAACAAATACTATAGGCACCAGGGAAAGAGATTATTAGGTGATCACCACGATTTAGGTAAAAATTCTCCAGCTTTCTGAAGTACCACTTGAACCTCATACTGTACTGCAGGTTTGAAAACTGACCAGGACGAACAAGAAACAGAAATAACTGTTTGGAAATAAATTCATATGAGATAATGCTTAATTTGCAGATCTCAGTTTAGTGGGCCTACTCAACCAGATGGCCATTTGAAGCCCCCAAATTTTTCCTCCACAAATACAGACAGGTGGGGGAGGGGGTGGTAATAAAATGTGGGCAAGGCGCATGTTTCTAAAATAGCATTCTGTATTCTCTTCCATTTCTCACCTTTGAACTGCTTCTCAATTTAAAATCCACTCATGGTCATGTACGCTTCTCTTTTAAGTCTCTGGTGACAATATATTGGGCCAAATATGTGCTTTAAAAATCAACATAAGAAGCCATTTTAAATCAGGAGAGGGAGAAGGAGAGGAGAAGGGAGTAGGAGGAATGTGGGCAAGGGAGAAGGGAGTCCTGCTTTGCTGAAAGCAAGAGTGAGTGATTCTTCTTGGCCTCAAAATTCTACATATCTGTGAAATTTCAATGAGGAATATTCTAAGAACTTTGTGACATATGTATTCCTCTCTAGTGTAACTTTGCAATGAATTCAAACCAAGTTTCCCTGACTAAGGAGAACAGAATCTGATTGCAGAATAGATTTCTTTCAGTTCTCTGAAATATCATATATACTGTCCTTCTGTTCTATGACCACATTTGTCAAAAGAATTGAAGGGAGCCCTTTTTAATAACATCAAGCTATTTCACTGTTTTCTTATTAAAAGTTTCTAATATGTTCTCATATCAGAAGTACTAAAGTGAATATTTTATTGGCTCAGCAATAAAGAAAAATGTAAATTTAAGCCCCTCTTTAGGCTTCAGGTTCCTTTGGACCAACATCTAAATGGCTATATTAATACCTGACAATCAGGTTTATAAATTCCCCCCCTTTTTCACAACTGGGTACTTGGAAGAAGGAGCTCAGACTTTATTTCTCCTTTTACACAATTAATTAATTTGTAATGACAAAGATTACTGGATTTCTTTAAGTCTTAGCTTAAAAAAATCTTAAGAGTTTTTAAATCTTATAAAAATGACTCGAATGTAAGCAACAAAGATGAGTGATTTGGGGCCAGTTTTTCTAACACCCTGCTACTGAGAGAATGCTGTGACCGAAGGCAGAGAGGAGGAATTGACATGGATGGGGGGAGATAATCGGACTCTCCCAGCCAATTTGGCTTAAGCAATCAAGGGGTGGGGGGTGTAAGGGGCTTGTAAGAAAAGCTCTTTGGCGGCGACTCTTCATTTTATTGTGAAACTGTGACAGAGATGGGCGGTCACACACTGACTTTCAAGCCTAGAAGAGAGAGACTCCCATGTGTAACTGGGAAACTTTGGGGGGTGGGGTTGATGTCACAGGCTTGACAAGCAATTCGACGCTCCCAAGGATGACAGTATCAACAATTTCCCTCTCAGAAGCCGGAGGGGCCATTCGGTCCGTGTAAACCTACTCTGGACTTGCAGACCCGAGAAGCCTGCGGGGAAGTTGCGCAGCTGCGGGGGGGCTGCCAGTGTGCAAATAAGTGATCACCGGGTCCCCCACAACTGTCCCTTTGAGGCAGGAAAACACCGGGACAGCCGGGGAGAGAGAGCGGCCAGGCCGCCAGGCTTCGGCCCGATTTCCCTCCAGAATGGCAGAAGCGGAAAGGAGAGGGTGTCCCGCTTCTCCTCCCCACACCTCCTTGGAGGACTGGGGGCCGCAGGGGGCGCGCGCGGCTGGGGCGGGCCGTTACCTGGCGGGTCAGTCCTTCCCCACCTGCGCGGGCTGAAGAGGCCGAGGGGCAGGACAGGCGGGCTGGTCCAGGGCGGAGGGGCCGCCCATCAATCGCGCGGGGGCCGTCTCCGTGCTCCTCTTCCTCCTCCTGTCTCGTCTCCCCTCCCGCTACCGGCGCCTCTTCCTCCTCCTCCCCGGAGGCAGCTTTCCGCGACGGCGGCCCGACTTTCTAGGGGCAGAGGCGGTGGGGGTGGCTGCCTGGCGTCCTCCCGTTTCCTTGGCAACGCGAGCTGGGGGCCGAGAGCGCTGGCGTGGGGGCGGGGCCGGGGCCCCGAGGTCTTGAGCCCGGACGCGGGCGCCCCGCGGTTGCCGTGGGAACGGGATGCGGTCTGGGAGGCAGAGCGGTGATGGCGGCGGGCAGAGAAGACACGCGGAGGGAGCACGCGGATTGGCTTTGTCTTGATGCCCAAGCCCAGACCCAGATATTGAGGCCATCACCCCTGCTCCGAATCGGTGCTGTGCTTTATAAAGAACGTGATTAGAAAACGAGAGGGGAAAATAGTTTTAACTGAATAAAGGAATATTAGAGGGTGATGTTTGCTTATTTGCAAACAAATTAAAATATTAAAGGGTAGAGGAAAGACAGTGCGGCCCTGGAGTTTGAGCTGTTCGGAGCTTCTCGGAAATGCCTGCTCTGAAATAAGGAAGAAATAAACGATTAAGGGAGGCACCCTGTCAGTTGCAGAACTGAGACCAGATCCCAGTTATCTCCTGGTTATTAGTAATCTGGGCTGCCTTTCCCAAGGAAGGACGTTCTTAGAGGTTTAGACTAGTGCCCGTAGGTTTGGAAAGGACCAGAACCTGCGCTAGCCTCACCTTCTCTCTGCCAGGTTTATTGCTGCCTGTGGTTTTTGGTAGGCCAAGATGACTCTTCCATTCATTTTGCACATGTAGGCACTCAATAACTTGCCACTGATGTCCAGTTAGGGCACTTTTGATTGGGTAGAGAATAGAGGGAAAGGAAAATAGGAATTCTTGGACCTTTCATCAGTGCCCAGCATCCCTAGGTGTCTGTGGTTTACGGGTGTCCTCTCAGCAATCCCCCAAATCCAGTTGGCATCCATATCTCCTGCAGCATTGCACCTTTCCTTCTATTCTTATCACCACCACCCTAGTTTGGGGCTCCAGGACCTCATGACCGCGTCTTAAGCCCCTGTCTTCCATACCCTAGCCCCACCATTTCCCTGATTCTGTAAGCAGCTTGGGTCTCATGCTGTGGCCCTGCTAAGAAGTTCTCAAAGATTCCTCACTGTGGCATAAAATCTAAACTCTTGACTACGGCTTTCCCTATACCCTCCCCCAGGCTCGCTTTCTTGGTTTTCCTCTGTCAGCACTTCTTCATTCATACTTCAGCCAGACCAGACTGCACATGATACACTGAACGTCACTCCCTGCCTTCACACCAAATCCGAAGGCACACCCTGAGCCAGGCGGAGCCCAGATAATATGTACGTAGGTGAAACTTTGTTTTGGGCACTTTTCATCCAACCTCCATTGGTCCTTCAGGAGTCATTAGTACTTTCTGTCCATGGTAGCTCAGCCCATGTTCTGTTCTTGTTCTCAGCTGGTTATCAAGTAATTCTTATCAAAGCATTAATTGATAATTGAAGCATTAACTGATAAGTACTAACCTAAGACCCCTCCCCATGGTTTTTACCTTTCCATCTTTTTTAAATTATTTTTTTTTAAAGATTTTATTTATTTATTTGAGAGAGAGAGAATGAGAGAGAGCACATGAGAGGGGGGAGGGTCAGAGGGAGAAGCAGACTCCCTGCCGAGCAGGGAGCCCGATGTGGGACTCGATCCAGGGACTCCAGGATCATGACCTGAGCCGAAGGCAGTCACTTAACCAACTGAGCCACCCAGGCGCCCTAAAATTATTTTTTAAAATTCAAGTATGGTTGACACACCATGTTACATTAGTTTCAGATGTACAACATAGTGGTTCGACAAGTTTATACATCATGCCATGCTCACCACAAGTGTAGCTACCATCTGTCACCATACAATGCTCTTACAGGATCATTGACTGCATTCCTGATGCTGTGCCTTTTATTTCCATGCCTTATTCATTCCATAACTGAAAGCCTATTTCTCCCACTCCCCGGTACCCATATTGCCCCTCTCCCCGCCCCCTCCCCCTCTGGCAACTGTTCTGTGTATATATAGGTCTGATTCTGCTGTTTGTTTGGATTCCACATATGAGCGAAATTATATGGTATTTGTCTTTCTCAGTCTGACTTACTTCACGTAGCATAATACCCTCTAGGTCCATCCATGTTGTCCCAATTTGCCTTTCAATCTTTAAGACACACTGATTGAAACTATAATAGTGAAATGATAGATGGAGGGTTTGTTCTGTTGAAGTTAGGACCCCCTTCAAATAAAAATAATCATAACGATTAATGATAATCAGGAATTATTAATGACTAACAGAGGAGGAAGTGGAAGCCCAGGTGAGATGGTTGAAGAGAAGTGACATGCCCGAGGACACAGGTAAGAAGCAGACCAGGGCTCAAAAGCAGGGTTCTCACTCCTGATGTTGCCTACTAGTAAGAAAAGCACCATGGCACATGTTAGATCCAGATTTTCTCCTTCCACTTCAACATCTGTATAAAATAATACTATCTACCTCCAAGCATCACTGTGGAGATTAAATAAGAGAGGGCAAAGCATTTAACATCATACTTGGTCTGCAGTAAGCACTCAATAATTTACTTTCTGAGGCACATTTTAAGAGTTTATTTAATGCACATGAGTGAAAAGCATAAATATTTTCAGATTTTTATTTTTTATTTAATTTTTATTTTTTTTTATTTTTTAAGTAATCTCTACGCCCAATGTGGGGCTCGAACTCACAACCCTGAGATCAGGAGTCTCATGCTCCAGTGACTGAGCCAGCCAGGCACACCGCTATTTTCAGATTTTCAACAACAAAGTTTGGAGATGTCACTTCATAGCTCAGTTTTAAACTTTTCTACATTTCAAAGTGTTTCTGAAAATTAAGCTCCATGAAAAGAATCCTGGTGCTCTTGAAAGAAGGTGGCAGTGCCAGGGGCCGGCCCATAAACAGTTACCCAGTGACTCCAACTTTAGTGTTTACTGAGTAAACTTAAGCTTGGCATGTCAATACAGTAAGATTGGTTCTAGCATTAAGAAGCAAAGTGCTAAGGAAGAGAAATATTAACATGAGGGAAAAAAACTAAACAATTCCTAATTGGGGAAAGGATCTTCCTTTTTGTAAAATTCTTTGCAAAAATGTCCCTGGTAGATGATGAATAAGTGAAGAAAACAGAACTTGGACTCAAGTAAATCATGGGTTCTAATGATGGAGATATTTGATGCTTGCAAATAAGCAACAGGAAGTTCTTTAGCTTAATCTAAGAGTTCTGCAGAGGGCAGCTTCAAGTATAAAATTTCAGAAGTGTTCCATGTATTAAGTTTCAGAAATAACATTTTTGAGGGAAATATTGAATTCAGTGCAAAGAGTAAGCTGTCCAGAGGGGGTAGTTATGCACTCTAAGCCTCCTAAGACTGGGACTACCCGCTAAGCCTGGGATATCCAGGAGCCTCATGGAGACCTGGCTGAGCTATTCACCTGATCTGGAACAACACAAGCTCTTTGTCCACCTAATATTTCTTCTTCCTACCAGCGGAGTCTAACTAGGTCACTTCGTTACTGTCTAATCAGGAGCTCTCCTGCCAAATGGCCTCAGAAGCTGCTGGCCTCCCTTATTATATACACCTCAGTCAGTTTTACCTTGGGCCGCGCCATGACTGATGGGTTTCTGTTCTCATCAGTTAAGGCCAATGTGGAGATGATGCTTTAATTCAACATACAAGGCATGAACCAGCAGTTTGTTTATAGAAAGGATCTCTAGGAGTGGCTTTCCTGAGAAGGGGACTGTGGGCATGGTGGTCCTCCAAAGCCTCAGGGGGTCTCCTCCAGAACCTCTCTATGTGGGGGATCCATCTGATTAATTTTAGAAACTGGCTAATGGCTTATTGAAAATGCCTCAGACTGTTTTGACATTCTGCATTTATCCCATAGCTATATTTGGCCAGACAAAGCATGCAATGTGATAGTCTCTTAATGTCACTTACAAAAAGTGGCCTGTAGAGTTGTCTTTAAGGTGGCCGGATTGCTGGGTGGGCTGTTTCGAGGTGAGCCCTCTGGACATTTTGAGGGAGGTCATTGAAGACCCAGGGTCCTTGATTTTGTAGGATCAGATATGCCATTTCAGTTCATTTGGAGCCAATCTTTTTTAGGAACTGATTCCCAATGATCCACTCAGCGACGAAATGCCCTCCACCTGACCAAGTTATTATTTCATCTCAGAGAATATAACTGGTAACTGACCAGCCCTGGTTATGTCCATAAGGTACTTTCCCCACCAGGGGAAAAGGCATCCCCAGGAGATCAAATTAAAGATCAGAAGCCTTAGTGAATATTGAATTCAATCAAAGGGACTTGAGTGTTCTTAAGGGATTTCTCTAGCAGGCTGAGGAGGCCTTAAGGAATCACATCCCTTCCCTCCAGAGTTGTTTCAGTCTGGATAACTGATTTGGATTATTCACCTCAAAGCGTTCAGAGACCTTCCTACATCTTGGTTTCAGTTAACTCACTTGCTGCTTCCCTTCACGGGACCGTTTCTCTTCCACTCATGCCATTAACAGCGTAGTTTGGAGTTGAGAAGATCAGGGTTGGAATCCCACCAGTAACACTTGCTGTGTGACAGTGAACAACATTCAGCCCCCTCACACTTCAAAATCCTCATAGTTAAAATGGGAATCGTCAGAGCCTCCTTGCCAGCTTGTTGGGAGGATTAATGAAATGAAGTTTCTGGCAACCGCGTCTGCCATATCGTAGCTGCTCAGCGAATGGTAGCTATCCCGACTGTTGACATCATGTAGATTTATTTCTCCTTGCCGGGACACACCAGGGCACATCACCTACAAATTGAAAAACCGCTCCAAAGGCTTGTTATTTCTTTAAGATGTTAATCCCACGTTACTGACATCATGGTGGTTAATTTTATATTTTTTATCCTGAATTTCAGAGACTGACATTTTATGACCTCATCCCTAATTGTGAGGGTGTATCCGATTTGGGACTTGCAGTCATCCATGAACTATATGAAATTTAGTAATGCCTGTTGGGCTTTCATAGGTCAAATATCTGAGATCTGATTCTCTTG